CATGCAACACCATTTCATCTGCCCAAATCCTGCCCCCAGCCCACCCTGATTCTATCTCTGTTCTCTTTTCAGGAGCATTCCAAGTCCAGGGGCCCCATGACCCCTTGGTAGCCATGCTGGGTGGTGAAGCAGAACTACCCTGCTTCCTCTCACCTCCTCAAAGTATTAAAAATATGCAAATAAGCTGGAACAGATCCCTACCCTCCCGAGTGGTGCACCTCTATGAGGATGGGAGGGACAAGCCTGAGGAAGCCATGGTGGAGTATTTAGGGAGGACAGAGCTTGTGAAAAATGTCATGCATAAGGGGATCGTGGTCCTGAAAATCCTCAATGTCCAACCCTCTGACAATGGGCAGTATTGCTGTGAATTCAAAAATGGCTCCTTCTACAATGATACAGTGATTGAGCTGAAAGTGGCAGGTAATGGCCCACATTTATTGTCCTGACACCCCACAAGGGTGAGTTTATTCTGGGTTGGGCTCCTTCTTCTGATCCAATTTTTCTGGGAAATATAAAGAAGTCATAGGAGAAAGGGAGATGGCAACTACTTCTAATCACCCCATTATCCCATATATCACTGCTTGGGTCTAAATAAAAGATAATAAAGAGATGCATAGTGGAAGTCAGGAAATAGGGGCCATTTGTTTTGGATTGTGTTGGACTTCTCTCTCACCCAGGAGTCTAAGTCCCATCCTTTATGCCTCTACCAGCTCAGGATCCATTCCCCCACATATTACCTCCACTCCACCTAAAGAGAATATGGCTTTTGGAATGCCTTCCCCTCCCTTCTTTGGGCCAGCCTCCCTAGAGACTCCCTCCACAGCAAGATCTCTGAGCCCTGGGCTCTGGGTAACAAACTTCACAGCCATGACCACCAAATTCTAAGTTTTAGTGGTTGATGAGGTATGTTACAACCCCTTCCCCACTACTACTACTAATTTCCAAGTTCTAGAACAGGACATTAGAAGCCTGCCTCGGCCAGGCGAAGAAGGTAGTGGGGCGGGAAATGATAGAAGCCACCTGTTTATTTCTGTTGGTCCAAGGCAGAGGAATACCTTAGCTCTTGGTCCCTCTAGAAAGCAAGGTCCTGCCACTGGGTCACATTATGTACAGACAATGTACATTTTGGCATGAGTCATCAGTATGTAAAAGGTATCTAGAGCCCTGAGTACCCTATAAATTCCTGAAAATCAAAGTCACAAAACTTGTAGAAAAAGGAGCATGGATCTTACTTTGCCCCTCACCTTATTCCCATAAATAAGACATGCCCCTTTCCAAGAGTGAAATTCCTAAATTCCTTCCTTTCTCTGACCCTTCCTTAAATCTCAGAGATCTCCTTTTTTCTCTCTCCTCATTACAGTGTTTTCCTCCTTTTCCAATGAGTCATCAGCACAAACCCTTGGGATCATCCTGCCTCAGTCACCTGAGGAGGCAGCAAATCTCTACAATTTATCATGGCAGCCTCATCTCACTCTACCTCTGCTTCCTGATGTT